GAAAAAAAATAGACTTATAATAGTTTCATATTTAAAGCTCATGAAACCTATGCTAAACAATGTCTAACTGACTCTTTAAAAGTTGTTCACCTTTCCATATGGCACTCTGCTATGTCCTGTAATTGAGGAGTTAGTTTATGACTTAGAGAGTGTTACCTTTCAGGTTACTGAGTGTGTTAAAAAACAGTAACCAAAAGAATACCCATGATGAGTCCCTGAGCATTTTCTGTGCCCTAAAGGAGGTCTCGAGATAAACTTTAGTGACAATCTTAATCGTTTTAAAATCTCTTCTGTCTTCTTGTAATCCACCAAACCCAGTCCCACTTTTGTTTTGTGGCTACTGATTTTTGTCCACTCATCTTTTTAAAATAACATGTAGTACTTACAAGTATTGTATAAAATAGCACTGTGATTGTCACCACTTTATTACCAACTTATAGTTGATTCTTTTTTTGTTAGATATATTTGAGCATAACTGAAAGTATTTTAAATGTTTTGGTCATTGTATACCTTTGCTAATGATTCAAACTCAGTTGTAATTAGCATGTCTGTTTTCTCTTAAATCTTCTTACCTGTTTTTAGGTAAATACATTCCAAATTCCTCTTCTTCTATTTTGAGATTATATAATGCATTATTGTTAATTATATTTACCCTGCTGTACCTTTAGAATTTATTTCCTCCGCCAAAAATAGTTAACATTGTACCTGTGTTAATTCATATTTCGTCCTACTCTCAAACTCTGTGAGATCAAACTTTTTATATTCCAGTATGAGTGAATTGTGCATGTTTGTCTTCTGTATTTGATTTCATGATTCGTGTATGCTGACATTGTGAATATGTTGCAGTAAAACAGGATTTCAGTGTCTTTTCAACATTGTTGATTTCATTTCCTTTGGGTATATACTCAGCAATGGGATTGCTGAATTGTGTAATAGTTCTATTTTTGGGTCTTGTTTTGGGGCGTTTTTTTTGTAAGTTTTTTTGTTTTGATTTTTTTTTGTTTGATGTTTGGTGTGGTTTCGTTTTGATGGTACTAGGGTTTAGATTTATGGCTTTAGGCTTGCTAGACAGTCGCTCTACAACTCGAACAACACCTCCAATACTTTTTTCCTCTAAATTTGAGATCAGGTCTTGCTTTTGCTCAGGTCCCCCTGGACCACCCTCCTTCTATTTTATGCTTCCCACCATACCTGTGATGACATGTACACACTATCTCATCCAGCTATTGGCTGAGATGGTATCTTACGAACTTTTTCCCATGGCCTGGCCTTTAACCATGATCCTCCCATTCTCACCTTCAAGCAGCTGGGGTTACAGGCCTGATCCACTGGTGCCCAGTTTTTTAGTTTTTTGAGAAACCTCCATACATACTGTTTTCCATAGTAACTCTTCTAAGGTACATTCCCACTAACAGTTACCAAACCTCTTTTGGTGCTGTTTCTTCTAGGCCCTATTTTATTCTCCCCCATTACGCTCACTGGCAATAATTAATGTGTGTACTTGCTGGTAGAAATCTTATCAATATATAGCTTTTATCCCCAAATATAAAAATTAATTGATTTTTCTGATTACATTAAAAAGGGAAAATCAGGAAAGGATGAAAAATATTTAGCTAGTACAGAAAAAAAAGATCCCATGTAGTGTGATTTTTCTGTGATGTTTTTCTAGAACTATCTGTTGATGTATTAAATACACAGGTATAAAATTTATATTAAGTAAATATAATCAGCCCTCCCTACCTGTAAGTACTAAGGATCAAAATATTAAGGAAAATAAGTTGCCTTAGTACTTAACATACACAGATTTTTTTTCTGTCTTTTTTCTTTAAACAATACAATATAACAGCTATTTGCATGGCATTTGCTTTCTTAAGTTAAAAAAAAAAGAATACTTTAAAATATTTTCAAATTAAATATAAAAGGGGAATTTAAATGTTTGGTATAGTTATTATAAGAAAAACTATAGCATCTTTGCACATCTGCTCATTATTCATTATTTACTTGTAAATTCTTACTTTCTTTTTGGTGGGACTGGGGTTTGAACTCAAGACTTCACACTTGCCAAGCAGGTACTTTACCTTCTAAGCCATACCTACAGTCCTTTAGTTGTACTTTGCCAACTACAAATATTTAGTTCATTTAGTTTATGCATCCCACTCCCCAGCCAACAGTACTGGGGATGACTAAGGGCTTTGAGTTTGCTAGTCAGCCCCTCTAGTGTCTTGAGCCATGCCACCACTCCTGGTTTGTAGATCTAAACTGATGTGGCAAAGAGAGTTTTAGTTGTTAAGTTAGTATTAGCCACTCAGATGTCTGTTGGAACGTTAATTCTTCATTTTCCAACAGTAAGAGTAATTTTTTACTTTGTGGTCTCCATGACTAATTCCTTCAGTTTTTAATTCCACAGATAGATAAAATCTTATCAGTGGTCAACTTCTCGAAATAAGCCCATTTTTCTTTGGCGAAAGTCAGAAACTAAGAGTTATATCGTTCTGTGACTGTTAGTGACTTGAAAGAGAAAAGGTCATTTAATAGTAAAGATTTTTTACATTGTCTTTTTTTCTTTGCTTGTTTTTTGTTTCTGTGCCCTTAGTCCCCTAAACCACCCCCTTGTTATTCACTAGAATAATCAAGACTCAGCATATAGTCATACTTAGGGCTATATGAGTTACATAATGAATATAATATTCATTGCGGTGAAATAGTACAAAGTAAAATAGCAAAGAAAAAATACCAGTTAGGAAAAAGAGCAAGTAAAGAGATAACCCAGTAGCCACTTTCATAGGCAGACTGAATTTAGGAAAATTACATCTAAAATGAGGGTCTAGAAATCAATTCTCTTAAGACAATTTAAATCTCAGAGTAAATCTTGTTCCTTCAGTTTGAACTTCATTGTTAGAGAGGTTTTAAGTAAAAACTTGGTATCTTGAATCCTGACTCTGGCACATACCAACTTTATGCTACTGGCAAGGTTCTTAATCTTTCTTGCTTTTTGTTTCTTGCTTTCAGTGGTGCCTGGCACTTTAATAATTGTCCTGTATGAATGAGTTGCTACTGTTGATCTTTTTGCTGTTAATTAAATGCAAAGGCACCTGTAGGACATTTTGACAGACAAGATAGGGAAGAACAAAAACTTTTGGCCATTTAGTAAAGTAGAAAATAATGACATTGTACGTGAATAATCTGTAAGCATGAGCTATCAGGTATAAAGAGTGAAGGGAAGAGTAGATTAGCCACCCATTCCATTTTCTCTTTAAGAGAAATGAACACTGATAAGACTTTCCAGTAATGGTGTGTGATGCTGCTACAAGTTTTTGAATCATCTTTCAGAAGATTATATTTAATCCTAGAATCCAGTTTATTCTGTGTATGGTTTGTTGTGTTTGGAATATAATTAATATCCAAATTAAATAACATGTCTGACTTCTTTTTTCCAGGAGTTTTTAAGAGATATCTTCAATCTCCTGTTTTTGTTGCCCAGTCTCAAAGATAGGCA